AGCCCCAGGAGAAGCAGAAGGATTTTTTTTTTCTTCTTCTTCTTCTTTTTTTCTCTCTGTGAAGACGAAGGCGCCAACGGGACTTGGCCCAAACTCTGGTTTTGCGGAGTTGCGTTTTCGTGTACTTTCGTGTTTGGTTTTGTTTGCTTAGGTTTTGAGTTCTGCGGAATGGATTCTGTCGGCCCAAATTTTAGCCCAAATAAGGCCCAATATTTTGCAACTTATTTCCTTTCAGAAATTTCTGTGCTCTTTAGCTTTAAAAAATAATAATTCCAATTTAGTTTGTTATTTGGTCTTTATACTTTCAGGTTGAAGTTTAAAATTTTTGTTTTTAACTTTTAATTTTGTCTCTAATTAGTAATTCTCATTATTGTTACGTGTGAAAAATGAGCGTAGACGTGGGTGAATCATACAGCCTCACGTGGTAGGGGGACCAACCCCAATGCAATAGGATAACCAACGGAGGGGACAATGCACCCTTGACAGGGAACATAACGACGAGCCTGCAGCGTCCTGATAGCAGCAAAGTCGACAGTGAGCGACATGCCTGTAAATAGCAAGTGTAAAATCCCACATGGAATGTCCCCCAACGACCTGCCAGAGGACGTACATAAGAGGAACCTATACCGAGCGATCTATTCAAATGGAACTACCGCCTATTTAAGGGGAAGAATACTCCATCCACAAGGTAAGTGTGATTCAATGTACAAACTATACTATTCTCTCCATATTTTCCTCTCGCATTCTCTAACTTGAGCATCGAAGGATATTTGGTAAAGCACCTCACCCGTGTCAAGGTCTACTCCTACAGGATAACCCCGTCCGATAATACGTAGGACATGTCAGCAAATCAGATGTCGGCATCAACAATTATCCTTTTAATTTTATGTTTATGTCACGTGTTTATTGTATTATGTAATAGTTACATGATGAGACTACTTTATATTAGGTTTAGATGTTTGATGAGCAAATATTAAACTGACTTGGTTAATGATAGATACCTAATAGATATAAAATTGAAACATTTGGAAAAAAAAACATTTTAACATATAAAAGGCTAAATATTATGAAACCTAAAAATTCAATGGTACGTTAGAAGCTTTTTAAATTAAAAATTTTTAATTAAGCAGGTACAGACCAAACTTATAATTTAACATTTACAGACCAAGCTTATAATTTAACATTTATATTTTAGCTCATGTTTCAATTATCAGAATGGATTCGATCCAATTGCATTCAATTAGTTTTGTGCTTGTAGTGATGGGATGACGAAGAATATATTATTTTAATCATAGTGACATTTTCTACAGTAAAATATGTTGTCGGTATGAATCTCTCATGGACCATTTTTAGGAGAGAATATATATTTTTTAATTTCTAACCAAGTAAATAGCTATCGAATTTTGAATGTAGTCAGTAGGAAGATTTATGCTAACCAGTAAGTAGTAAAGTTGGTCTCTAAAAAGTTTAATATCAAACATTTATACTTAAATATGACATGTCAGGTTAGAATGAATGACACAATAACTTTTATTAACGTGTAATGTTTTTTCAATCAACTCGAATACTGAATATATCATAAACTAAAAATTCAAATCCACACATTTCCCCGAACTAAAAGTAAATAATAAATAATAACATTTATTTTAAAACTCAAATCAGTCCCAAGTTTATACTTTATAGCCAGGAAAATTACTAAAATCATCAAACTATGAGGACGGTTACGATCAAACTTTTGAAGTTTTTAATTTATCGGTCGCCCTCTATATTTACAAAAAGTATACAATTAAACCCTACAATGATATTATATATGCATAAACTTGGATAGATTATAATTTAACTCGTGGCAGTTCGTGCATTTTACAATTTGTAAGTTTCAGTTTTACAAGTTAAAGAAGGGATTGATAAAATTAAAATCTTGATTTATATAATTGTCAACCGTTTAAATTGTGATCCTTGTATTTACGGTTTTTGTTCATTTTATTATATGTACTATATATTAGAATGTTCATTTTGGTTATTTCTATATTTTCAACCTTGGTTCGTTTTAGTCAATTTCAACACTATTTTAAAGTATATAAACCAAAACAACAATTTAAAAATACAAGAGGTAAAATAATTAAAATTTAAAGTACAAGATCAAAATAAACATTTTGAAAATATTTGAATCAAAATAACATTTCAACCAAACTGTCTCCTACCATCAATCATATTTTGAAAGATCTACTGTGTCCTAGAGTTTCAATTCTAAACCAAATATAACTAAAAATATATGACAACCTGTTTACAAAATCTAGTAACCAATTTTTTTAAAAAATATGATTTGACAAATTAAACTAAAACATTTAAAATTTAAAGTAGGTGTCAAGATTTAGTTTAAATTTTAGTGGTTTAATTTGTTAAATCCTATTTTTAAAAATTGGTTTGTAGATTCTGTTAGATATATATTTTTTTTTTTTTGAGAAATGATTCTGTTAGATTGTTTTAAAACAGGCTGTTATATTTTTCTCAGTTATATTTGGTTCAAAGTTTGTTTCTTCTTCCCTTTATTTTTTTTTTGGTTTTAATTTGGTTTTTTTTCTCAGATATTCTTTCAAGTATGTTTTATTTTAGGTCTCTCTTCAATCAATAGCAGACCTCGTCTCTTACGCCACTGTATCGAGGTTGTCTTTTGGAGATGAGATTTTAATGAATTATTTCTAGAATAAATTTTAAGAGTTATATTGTTTTGAAAATAAGTTTACTAATTAACACTATTAAAAAAAGATCCCAATAAATAAATAACGCTAAAGAAATAAATTTATTTGCACAAACGATGCCTTTTTCCTAAAAAAAAAAAAGAGCAACAAGATTCCAGTCTGATCGTTACCAAGCATTAGCTGAACACAATCAGCACACAAAGCACAGAGGAACAAATAGAAACCATCAACTCAAAAAAAAAGCATATCAAATGGAGACACAGAGAAACAGAGACGAACGGAGAGGGCTACTCCGGCAGCCGCCATCGCCGCCGCCGCCGCCGCTAGAACGCCGGCCGATTGCTTCTCTCTAGGGCTTCCACAGAATGGTTGTTTCAGCGATCATGGAAGTGACGATGTAAGGATCCATGTTTGAAGCTGGCCTTCGATCCTCGAAGTAACCTGCAACATTTGTTCAAAAAACAAAAAAATTTGGAACTAAATTAGACCATTGAAGAAGACGCTGAAGAATGGGTTTCACAGAAACTTGCCTTTGCCGTCCTTTTCAGTCTCCCGGCCAACACGGACTGAGGCTCCCCTGTTTGCAACTCCCTGAATATTTTTTCATCACATGTTTGAAATATAAATAGCATAAAAGTAGTTTCATTTAAATCAAATTCAATAAAGCCACACTCATGAAATATTGTGACATTTTTCAAAATTCATGTTAAAATAAAGTAAAAGTAAATTTTATTTACTTTAAATAAGAGACATGACAATTATACTTATACCTAATATAAATGAAATGTTTGTTTTGTTCCTTGTATTTTCAACTTTGATTAATTTTAGTCTATTTAGTTTCAAAATATTCATTTTAATCTCTTTCCTTTCAAAATAATCATTTTAATTCCTGTACTTTAAAAAAGTGGTCATTTCGATCCCTTAATTTTATTTTTAATATAATTTTTTTTATTTCAATTTCAACACGACATTACGATTAATATATTTCTTCAAATGTAAACATTACTTTATACTAAATAATTGTCATTATAGATAAATTTGGGTTAAAATGTTCACTTTTTGAAAGCACATGGACTAAAATAAACATTTTCACAAATAGGGACTAAAATGAGTCATAGTAAGTACAAAAACTAAAATAAATATTAGGAAAGTGTAGCACCAAAATAATATTTTAATCCATTTTTAAATTAGCAAATAAAGTTAAAGTAGATAGGATAAGTTATATTTCTTGCATATGTATGTATAAAATCAACCAACAAATATATTGATAATCTAAAAAACTATAACAAGACAGTAAATGAAAGAGTGATAAAGAAAAATGACATACCCAAGAGAAGGTGTTAATATCGGCAGTCTCATGGCGACCGGTCAACCTCCTATCGTTGCCTTCTCCATAGGCAGCAATGTGTTCTTTGTGACGCCGGCTGAGTTTATCGATGGCCTTCTTGATCACATCAATCCCACCGTCGTTTCTCATCGACTTGGTGCTGAGCCCCAACCAAAAAACCCCAAACAAATTTCAGACGCAACAAAAAAAATGACAAGTTCAAGAGATTGAGGAGAAAACAAACAGTACCTGTAGTTGGTATGAGCACCAGCGCCATTCCAATCGCCCTGGTTGATAATTAATTAAACAATGAAATAATATCAGGCGAGCAGATGATTTAATCAATGTGCTGAAGAAGTTGTGTAGTGATTAAATTAATAAACACACCTTAACTGGCTTTGGGTCGAAGGAGAGAACAACTCCTGCAATTTCGGTGATCCTCTGTTCCACCACGAACAAATTTAGTTTAAGAGAAATAAGTTGCCTGCGGATTAGATTCTAAATTCTAATATTGGTATTAGAGCAAACCTCGAGGATGTATCGAGCCATCCATAGCTGATCACCAGAAGCAATACCAACGGTGGGACCGACTTGGAATTCCCACTGTTTGGACATCAGAAAAAACATCAGAAAAAGAAAAAAAGAGAGAGAGAGAAAGAAGCTGGGTATTATCTATGGGTCTGTTTGGACATAAGATAAGATAGAGACGCACCTGACCGGGCATGACTTCACCGTTAATTCCACTGACGTTGATTCCGGCATAGAGGCAGGCCTTGTAGTGTGAGTCTACAATGTCACGACCCAAGGCCTTGTCTGCTCCTACACCACAGTAGTAGGGACCCTGCGTTGGGAAGTGCTTCAATTATAATTACACTCGAAAGCGTTTGTTTAGCAATAAATTAATAACAAAAATTTTTTGATGTTTATATTTTCCATTCTAAAGACTGCCTCTTTGAAGTGTTTTTCAAACAAGGTTAAAAGTATCCCCAATCTGGGCTAAAACTAAAAGTATCCCAAGTACTTTCTCACAAAGTAATTTTAAAGTATATTTGGTTGTCATTTTTGTAGGTGACTTGGATGTCATTGTCAGAAATTACTATTATGCTATTTTAAATGAAAATGACTTTGACAGCAACAAAGTGACTTTAATAATGCCAAAAAGTTGCTTTCAAATATGCAACTGATGCAAGAAAAAAAAAGTAGAAATTGACTTTGGCATACTCCTGATGTTTGACATTTTTCAAGAGTACTTTTCTGATACTCTAAGATTCAAATGCTTTTAACCTGCTCAATGTTTTACTTCTAAAAAGTCTCTAGCAAATCTATAAACAAAGACAACGTATTGTTCAAAACTGTATCTTTTCTTTTCCCCTCTAATTCCAGAAATTGGCTAATATTTTAAAAGTGGACTACTCTTGACAAACCAACATTGTACTTAATAATAAATAAATAGAATTGTTGTCAAATGGACTTAAAGAAGCTGTTTGAATTTTGCTTCTCCAATAATTAAATCATTCTAGGCTACGTTTGTTGTAAAAGATAATGCAGTAGAATATCTTCACAAACAGCATTTAGGGTACCTGGGGTCCCGGGAAGCCACCGACGGGCCAGCCGAGGGGCCAGCGGATATCCTTTTGGAGGAGAGTGTACTCCTGCTCAATGCCATACCTGTTCCCACCACAAAAATACGTCTTAAGAGGGGAAATCATTAATTATATAATCTATCAATATGTATATATCTATACTTATTATAGTAGTACTTCATAGAATTAGACTCATATTAATATTCTTTAAAAAGAAACTTTAACAATAGTGATAACACAAACCAAAAAGAAAAATACTATGTGCAAGTGGAACAGGTGAGATTAAGGAAAGGATGAGAGGCGTCAAAATCAAAGAGTAAAGAGACGTGAGTACTAGAAGTGGGAAGCTTGGTGCTGTATGTAATAAAATAAATTAATGGGTACGGATATGCAACTTTTTCTGACTCATGGGACCATTGTTTTTGAGTTCCTCCCACTTAATGGTTTAATAATTAATAGTTAAAACGCACAATGGGAAATTGCATACCTACTGCCATTATCAAACCAATCTTATGGAAGCAGGGAGGTCCACAGTCAAAGTTAGACGGCGTACCCATCTTAACAACCGCTCCAATGACATAATTACGCCATCTTGATAATTACCAATTTTATATTTCCACACCAACTCAACTAATGGAAAATTCACGGCTTCCAAGTTCCAACCCCATGGGGAGTGGAAATTAAAGGCCTTATTGAATTTTTTAGAGAAAAGTTACGAGACTGAAAAAAGTTCTTCTAATATTTCTTTCACCTTTTGAAATTCGTGATAGAGTGCGGTGTTAAAAGTCAACACCTGGGAAATTCCCTTCACAAACTTGTGATTTTGAAAGAGAAAATGAAGTTGGGTTTTTATTTACTAAAATTATGAATATGGGAACTTACTCACTTAATGGAATTGAGAATGAAATGAGACGCAATATAAATGGAAAAAAGAAAGTTGTAAAATCAGAATAAAACTTATAATATTGTGTACTATAATTTTTTTTTTAATTTAATAAAAAAGATGTGTATTACGATTGATTCTATTACGTACCACTCCGAGGAATGATAATTAACTTATATTAAATATGAAATTCATCCCACTAACCCAAATTTTATAAGGTAATAATGAGATTCGGAGAATCTTATACCCCTGATTCTGCGTGAAACCCACTAACCCTACGATCAACAGAATATATTTTTTCTTTTTTTATTTATATTTATTTAAAAGTAAAGTCAGTAATAACTATTAAAGTTTTTGTTTTATAGCATTTATACTATATTAATCTGATTATTAAATGTCATATTACCAGGGTTCCTCGGCGACGACGTCAGGATGGCTAAAAATCTTGGCGGCGTTGAATCTGTTGTTGTTTGGAATCGGCTCGCCAGCTGGCGTATAGGCATCACACATCACCTAACCCATTTCAAGAGAAAAGGACGACATTACCCCTCGACCGTTTTGAAAATACCAAAAATGACCGAGAATAACCGGTGAAATTACAATACCAGGATGTTGTTTCCTCTTCTAAAGGGATCCTTGAAAACCGCCTGGGGACTGTTAACAGTCAAACAAAACTCACGCCGTTAAATGTGGAAATTCAAAAGGAAGAAAAAAAAGTCAAAGATTCTACGGTGACGTGTGGAATATTCCACAAGATGATAATGGATTACTCCGATCAGGACCGTTGATCGCGATCCTGATGGATCAAGAGATGCATGATGGATACGTGGCGTATTGTGATTGGGTGAGGGCGTTGTACATACTATATGATGACTTCACTGTTGTCTCCGGGGGCTTGATTCGTACTGGAACCGTCGTAGTTCCACTTCGGGAGTTTCGCCGGGTCGGTCACCGGTCCCGGAAGAGTCTGAAATTAGTTTTTAAAAAAAAATCATTCTAAAATCCGAAGAAATTATCCATATGGATAATTTTCAAACGAGTCGATACAGCAAGAAAATCTCGCCGGAAAAGATCTCCAAAAGTACGATCGATTTCGAACTCTCAAACAAAACGTCGAAGAAAGAAAAAAGGAGAGAAACATTCGAAATCTGAGGAAATGATCCGGACTGAACTGACAATTTCTCAAACGCGTTGATGTATAAAGCAAGAAAATATCTCCGAAAAAATTGTCAAAAAGCACGATCCAATCCGAACTTTCAAAGAAAAAAAATCAAAAGAAAAATGAGAGAGAAACATTCGAAATCTGAAGAAATGATCTGCGCTGAACAAACAATTTCACAAATGAGCTGATACAGCAAAACCTCTCCGGAAGACTTTCAAAAAACCACGATCGATCCGTAACTCGCGATCAAAAAGCCGAAAGAAGAAAAAAAGAGAGCGAAACATTGGAAATCTGAAGAAATGGTCTGCACTGATAATTTTCCGAACGAGTTGGTACATCAAAAAAATCTCTCCAGAAAGACTTTCAAAAAGCACGATCGATTTCGAACACAAACAAAAAGCCGAAGAAAAACAAAACAGAAACACTCTGAAATCGAAGAAATGATCCGTACTGGCAATTTCTCAAAACGAGCTAACAAAGCAAGAAATCACTCAGGACAAACTTCCAGAAAGCACGATCGATCGATTTCGAACATTCAAACGAAAACTCGAAGAAAATGGCAAAAATAGAGAAAACACATTAATCCTCAACATGAACGACGAAAATAATCGGATTCCAATCCAAAAAAAGGCAAGAAATCAGTCCATACCCTAGCTTTGCTTCTCAAATCGAGTCCAGATCCTCCGATCCTGCACGGAGAAAAACGAAAATAAAAATCAAAACAAAAACAGAAACCCCCGCCAAGAGTCGCCGCAAGACACAGAGCGCTGAGAGTGAGAGAGAATTACCATACGTATTCGGCAATGATCTTCTCAGTGGTGTCAGAGAGGTTGAGATTGATGAGATCGGAGAGGAGAGCCATGGCAGAGGAAGAAGACTGAGAAGAAAAAAAAGTTCGATGGGTGAGAGAGAAGACTGCAGGAATGGGGGGCTTTAATAAGGGACGGCCAGCGCTTGGCTACTAACGTAGAGGCGTTGTGATTAATGACAGGGCAAAACGACGGCCAGATAATTTTTTTTAATTAAAAGAAATAAATTACTTTAATTATTGGAATTTAAAATAAAAATGGGGTCGTCGTCAGTAAGCAAAAGGAGAAAAGTTCCGAGAAATTTGGAATTGTCTCGTGATTTTAAGATTATATCGGGGAAAACTGGCAAGTGGCAATTGAATTGGTGACCACTAAACTTTTTTACATCACTTAAAATTAATTAGCCAAATACCCAAAATGCCCTCGCTACACTTTCTTCACCTTTTCCGTTTTTCTTTTGTTTTTTTTTCCCGTGAAAATACAACGTTGCTTGTTGAGGCTGACACGAGTTGGATGGGTAGTTTTTGGAACAATTTTTTTTTTTATTATAAATCTTTTGACGGGATAACGTCTAATTCTACTAAATTTGGTTATAAAAAAAATCACTTCCATTCTAAATCACTTCAAAAAAAAATCTCTCATTTTTATTTTATTTTATGAAATATGGACAAATATAGATGTTTATTTTTTAAAATAAATTATAACAAATATTTAAATTAATAATAATATTTCACACTTTTTAATAAATTAAAAAGTATTAAAATTATATTTTTATTGATGATGAAATTCTTCTGTCTCTATTTGTACTATGAAAAGAAAAATGTTTATAGTACATATATCCAAAAGACCATAATCTCTGAACTAATCTCAGGCTAAACATCTTGTTGAATTATATTTTCGACTTTTAATATTGTGTTCATCATCTAGTATTTGTTTACATGTCTATGTTGATATTTTAATTATATTTTGTTAAATTTTTGTGTGATGTTATGAAAATGTCTATTGATGTTTAACTCATAAACATATGAAAATGTCTATGTTCGGATAAAAATTTAATACGTTCATAAACATATGAAAATATCTATGTCTTGACAAAAAATTAATTCCCTCAGATATAGTTGTATTTCAAAAATATTATACTTTGTCCTTGAACTTAAATTCGATGTCAATTTGGTTTTTATTGTAATATTTGAATTCTACCTATATTCTATAAGGATTACATATCTATCGACTAATTTCAAATATTTAATGGTTGTTGAACGATTTATAACTCTTGAGCAAGTGTACACAACCGTTGTAGTAAGTAATAAAAAGTTTGTATCCACAGTGATTGATGACTAAATACTCACATGTTTACTTAAGAATGTAGATAAAATTGACAATATTATATTCGGTATTTAAAGGCTCTAAATTAAAAGAAAATAATAATTTAAACTCACCGGATGAAAGAGTAATCAAACAAGTAAAACGAGCTCACAGAGTGGTCAAAGTCAGAAAAAAGGGTTTAAACACATATGTATAAAACGTAAGGGGAAGAGTTTAAAGTGACTTATTTTGGGCCAACGTAAACAATGTTGCAGCATCGATGTTAATATACTGGCCAAACAGACATGGAATCTTCCCACATTTCTCATATTTTCTGCTATTCAAGTTTTGACACAAAACTAACAACATATTTGTCGAACATCTAGTCTTACTAGGTGAGCCTTATTCATAAGCATACACTCTCTAAACTCAAGTAGATCTAGCATGAGTTGAAGCCAAATACTTCCTATTACAATTTTCCAAAAGTTAATAAAGAGATATCTCAATATGTTCATCAAGCACATTGAAAATCAAGCATTAAAAACAACTTCAACTCGGTATATATATATATGTATATATATAAAAGTTTACAACCAAAAAATCAATTCACAACATCCTCCCCTTTCAATAAAAACTTAGCTACGCCAAGCCATACGAGACAAGTGAAGAAAATAAAATAATAACAAGCACAATACTCAAGAGACGCGAGAATAATGGAAGGATAGTTGAAGAATGTCAGCTCAAGTTGTAGTTCTCAGAAGGTTCTTCGCATTTCCTCTTCTTTCTCCTTGTCTTCTTTAAACCCTTGAGAGCTTCCTTCGAATGAGAGATGATTTGATAGGAGAAAAGGAATGTTTAGAGGCTACCTTAAATGTTTGTATATATGCCCTCCTCGATTTTAGGGCAACCAAATGGATAAAGTGGGTACAGCTAAAAATATCAGGAGTTCCTCCGTGTTACTGTGGTAATTCCTTAGATAAATGTCTATCACTGTCAGCTTTGTCTTTTTCTTTCTTTTTAATTCCGATGCTGCAGCATCAATAATTCTGCATCAAAACATTCAAAGTTAGTCCATTATTTCATAAATCTCAGCATCAATTAGCATGGCAAGGATGATTGTAAACTTGAAACATAATTGTATAAAATCAGTGTAGAGTCGGTATTGGTGTGACTATTCTTAGTTAATCTCAAAGCTTTTCTTACCCAAATAACTCTCTTTTGGAGAGTTATCGGTGGCTATAAGCGTCAAACTAACAAAATTATTAGTGATCTATTAAATACAAACTTGAAAGCTTGGAGATTTATTGAACTAATATTAAAGGGTATAAACTAAAAATAAGACAATCATATAAGCTCGTTAACTTATTAACAACTTGTTGAAATATAGAGACTAAATACATAACCCTAAGTTGAGAGACAAAGCTTTACATGACTCGATGGACGACACATTCATGTCGCCACCACTTGCTCAAGTGGTGGGGGCTCAACTCACTTTTTTATAGTAGGGCCAAGATATTCCCCCTACTTAAACTCCTCGTTGTCGTTGATGACACATCGGTGAAGTATAATCTACATATAACTCATGTGAATGTGACACTAATCAAGGCTAAAATTGGAAATAGAGATATGTGTTAGAACCTGGAAGAGAGAATTGCAAACGGAGAATAGAAAACAAGAACGTCGTTGTATCGTGGACGAACCCACTGCCTTGAAAGCAATTTCAGCACAACCTTGGTGTTAAATCGTTTTCTTGTCTTTTGCTCTTCAAAGTTCCAACATCTAACTATGACTTAGGCTCGCCAGATTGAAATTGAAATGGAGCTCATAATTTTTGTTTAGAAACGGATGGGGAATAACGAAATGAAAACTGCACGTAATATGAACAGGGAGAAATAACTAATTGATAAAGCAATATCCGTTATTACGTTTTATATTTGTTAATATGAACAGAGAGGAATAACCAATCGATAAAGTAACATAAAATCGTTATATTTCAATAGAGAGGTACGACTTGAAGACAACAAAAGTAGGTGAAGTTATCTGATTTTGCAAGTTGTTCCAACCACGACAATATGTGATTTCCAAGAGCACAACAAAAATGAATCAGAGTCCACGCACATCAATTCTAACAACTTTGGCTCTTTTGATAATCAACTTGTTTTTTAATTATATTTTCTAAAATTAATTAGCTTGTACGCGCTATATCCACTCATGAATTTATTTATTTTTCAATTTGTTTTTTTAATATTTTTAAAATTTCAGCTAAAATTTGAAACCTAAAAAATCAAAACACCATCTTTCTTATTTTTCCATTCAAATTACAGACATGTCTTTTTGGATGGTTGATTTAATATATTTTTTTCTCTCTCCACCATCATTAAAGTCTCATGCTCCACTCCAAAATATAAAATCTCATGATCTAAGATTCTCTTCCACCACAATTTTTTATATATTGCAAATTAAGGACTATTTAGCAACGTGGTTTACAACAATTTTAAAGTTGCTTTTAAGAATTTGGAAGTGGATTGCTTGTTAAGTTATTGTTCAACTTTGTAGATTCCCCATTTAGAAAAGAAAATTATTGATCAACACAAATTTAAATTGAAAAAAAAAATGTTGTTAAATCACTTACACATGTTACTACATAACTTTTATTCCATTATTAAGAAATTTTTTAAAGTCAGTTTATAAGATATTACTTCATGATCTAGTCTTGTGGGATTTCGGTTACATTCCCAACAAAATAAGTTAATATTTTGATATTTTTAACCGAAAAACAATCCCTTGTGTTTTATTTTAACTCTATGCAAATTTCAAATTTTTATTTTGTAATTTTTAGAATTAATTGGTATATATATGTTTGAGCTATGTTCAAGTTAGCTAATCATCTTATTTTGTATTCAAAGAAACGCATGACTGAAACCATATTGATTTGATAATTTTCTCCTTTAATATTTAATCCCTCGTGATCATTATATATACTATTTTTGATTTTAATATTATTTTAGTCTGTTTACTTTCTTTTATATCTCATTAATTTTTCAATCACACTCATAGCCTAGCACAACAATCAATAAAATTTCTTGAAATACAGTCACATATTTCACATATTGTATTAAAAGATTCTATACACCAAAATAGCCACTTTTTAATAACAAGCAACCTCTCTCTCTCTCCTTTGTTTCACCGTTCGAAAATGAGATCAATATTAGATTCAATATTGAACTAAACTCCATAAGTTTCCGGATCCCATCACACATCTCCTCAAATCAACTACATTCATTCGGATTATGCTTCTTGCATAACTCACAGTATACCAAAATCAAAAACATCGTTTCAATTTTATATTACATGAACATCCCTATAGAGAAAACTTCTCATTTTGACCAAAAAAAGAACAGAGCACTACAAATCAGTGACATTTTGAAGAAAAACAAACCTGTTTTGGAGCAGTGTTAATGGTAGCTAGAGACAGTGACCGTGGCCTGAGGGCCACCCTGAATGTAGATGAAATTGAATTCTGAGGCAGGCTGAAGCACTTTCATCCATTGAGGAAGCTCGTAAATGTCTTTCTGTTGGGTTGGAGAGAGCCCCCAAATGGGGCCTGAGAGATTCTCCAGCCGCAGCTTTAGGCCACTGATTGGCTTTCCGGATGTGTTCTTGATCTTCACTTGGTGCCTGTAGTAATCCTCCTTCCCCACTGCCCATGTGCTTGTTATTGTGTGGATAAACTCCACCGGGCACCCTGCAAAATTAGAGAGATTATGATTCGTCGTCTGATTGATAGCACACTATGTAGACTAAATTTCATGAGAGTCCGAGTACAAATAAAGAAGGACTACACAAAAGAAATATGAGCTTAGCACCCGTGAGAGAAGCACCCATGTGCCCAAAATAAGCAAAAACTCGAGAAGGTAGCGCTCGTAATCTCTTAGTTTAAGTTTTTTGATTTAGTGTTCTAGTTTTAACATGATATTAAGGTCGGGAGCCTTGAATTTGAATATCTATATAGTGTAATTTTCTTTTTAATTAATATTGATGATCACTTGTTGGGTTTTTACGAGGTTGGGTGAGTATAATCAAACAAAACTATGATTACATGAAAGTAATTTATAAGTCAAAAGATGAAGCACGTGAAATTCAACCAATAGAAACGTCAGTCAGTCCATAAAAATGTCTCGTAAACGTATTTTGTTTTTTGCCCTCACCTGCAGGCACTGGGACCGGGGCGTTCGTCTTCGGTGATTCTTCTTCACGTTTTACCGGCGGCTTATATCCGCGCGATCCTGTTCCAAGTTCCAACGATGAAATCAGCAAACAAGAACATCGAAATTTCCAAAAATAAGACACCGAATTCGAGTCCTCATCTTACCAGGATTGCCATTAACACTCTGCAGCTTGGAAAATAGTCCAATCAGAGGAGCGCAAGCAGTGAGAGTAGGCTCAGTCTGTTCATAATCCGATCGATCGTCGTCGAACCTGTCGTTCTTGTCAGGGCCGCCGACGAGAGCGCCGTGGAGAATGTTAGGGTTTTGTTGGAGCCGATGGTACCACGAATCGAATCCTTGAACGCAGCCGATGGTGGAGGGATAGGTGAAAATCGAAGGAATCGAGGAGCCTCTGTGGTGAAGCTTCTGCGGAAATTTGGATCCGTAGCCGACCAAATAGCTGATGGAGTTTGGATTGTTGCCGAGGATGTAATCGGCCTGCGATTGGGCGAAGTTGAGGAGATCATGCGGTTGGAAGACGCCGTCGGGGCAGATGAGCTTGGCGTTGGCTTCGGAGAGGTAGACGGAGTAGACGGCAATGAGGAATGCGGCGGCGGAGGCGTATTGCATATTGTTCCATTCCCGCACGTACATCAATCCCCCTGTTTTGATTTTTTCCCGGGAAAATCAAATCGGAAAATTAGTTTCGTTTTCTACTCCAGAAATTGATCAAAAACGGTGATCAGAACTTTGGTTCCATAATTTTAGTCTCTTAGTTCAATTTGCATCCTACGATTTTCATAAAAAAAAAAAAAAATTGAAGTCCAACTTACCAACTGTTTGCTGTGCATATTTGACGTTATCATATAAGATTTGTGAGTGTTTTTTTTTTTAATTATTTATATAACAACACATGAATGATTTTCTATTTGATTCACTATGTTAATTAAGTTGTCTAAAAGAAACTATGTTAATTAACTATATTAAAGTCTAAGTTTGAGTGAAAAATATTTCACCCACCTAAAAACTTACTATTTTTTTAGATATATTTTTATTTGATTCTAAACCTTAAAAGACAGCTAAAATTCAAAAAAAAAAAGAAAAAAAAAACATTTTTTAGTACAATGTAGGGTAGGACCAAATTCAGATTATGCTAAAATATGCTCCCTTTATTAAATAAATAATTACCATAACAATAAAATAAAAGTGCCATATTTAGTAGTATTAGATCCGATAGATTTTTTAATCAAATATAGGTTTAAATTGGTTATTAATCTAAAAAATTATCTCTAGATCATTTTTTACCTACCAAAAAATTAACTAGTTTTTCTCCTATTTTTACTCCATTTTAATACAAAACCAACGCAATCTACCAAATTGCCACGTAAATAAAAATGAAAAAAAAAATGTCACATATCTAAATTGATAACAATTTGTGAGTCACGAGTCTCACGACTAAACTATAGAATAGGAACTAATTAGATTTTTAAATCATAAAAACCAAATTAAAAATCCCAATCCCAATCCCAATCCCAACAAATTAAACCGCGATCTTAAACTAAGATTGTTATCAAATTAGATACACAATCCCCCAATTTGATACTCATAAACCGTGATCTTAGCTTAAACTTACCAGGAGTTTTGTTGATGTTAAATCCATCGTTCTTCTGAAGACAAGCGCAAGCGAAATAATCGGCTTTGGCCTGATATTGCTTCAACGTCGTCGTATAAGCCCCACCGCGTCCCTCCAACAAAACCTGCAAAATCAAATTTCGCACAATAATTAAATAAATTATTCCATGAATTAATTAATATAATATAATAAAATCACACACCTTGGTGAGAAGAACTTGAACGCCGGCATATTTATTATCCCAGGAGAACTCCTTCATCGCCCATCCAGTTCCCCCAAACGACACCGCTTTGTCCACCGTGTACTTCAAGTAGTACTCGTCTCCGGTTGCTCTGAACAGCCACGCCGCCGCCCACAGCAGTTCGTCCTGAATTCAATTTCCCACAAATTAAAACAGATAATTATAGAAAATAACTATATTTTTATTTTCTTAGGATCGAAGTTTGTTACCCAATATCCCGATGAACTGTAGAACTCCGAAGCGCAGGGAATGGAATCGTCGTATAAACCTCTGAATGTGTCTGCAAATGTGAACAGCTGCCACCAAATTTTTTTTAAAAAATCATATATTAATTAGCGAATAACTTCCTTATAATGTTCGCGTTCAAAGAATAAATATGTGTGAATTTGAATTTTTTGTTACCTCCTTGGCGTGAACGAGGAGGAGATCGGAGTATGAAGAGTTGTAAGTCTTGAAGGCGATGGAGGCGGCGGCGAGGGCGGCGGCGGTTTCGCCGGCGAGGTCGGAGCCGGGATGAGACTCGTCGATTTTGAAGGCGGTTCTGGGAGTGGTCATGTCTTCGGGGCGCTCCCAGCAGAAGTGATCGGAGGCGCCGTCGCCGACCTGGCCCCAGAGCACATTCCGCTGAGGGTGGGCCTTGATGAAGTAATCTGCGGCCCATTTAATGGCGTTGAGAGTATTGTCCATTTGGTTCAGATCTGTAATTTCCTTGTTGAAATCGATGGCTCCCCATGAAAGTATGGTGGCGACGAACGCCATTGGAAGCCCGAACTTCACGTGGTCTCCTGCGTCGTAGTACCCTCCCACTAAATTCACCTGCCATTGTTCAATTTATTGCAAAATATTTTAGATTTTGTATAATGACTTCACCAGTGGATGACTAGGAAACTGCTTGCTTGAAAAGTCGATAGTTTATTTGATAATTTTTTTGCATTTTTCGTTCTCAAGTATCGAATATTTAATAGTAGTTTGTACAAAATTAATCCTTTTCGTTAATGAACCAAATATTCAACGGATAATTAAATAAAAATGTTGAGGTACATGTTATATCTTGCCGACTGACTACCCTTAAATTTGTGAGAAGTAATGAAAGATAAATACAGAAAGTCTAAAGAGATGGTCGGGAGATATATATTAAAAATTTGAAATTCACTATATGAATATAACTTTATAGTTAATGATATTTTTTGTTTTAAAAAATCAAGGTATTGTAATTTTTTTTAATACATTTGAATTCTTACTTAAATTTAAAAAATAAAACAATATTTAAAGTAAAACAAATAACACATATGAACGGTAGTGTTTCTGAGTTTAATTTTAAAAATATAAAACTTAAAACAAAATGGTTACCCACCAAATTGTATGATAATTATTTTATATATGTAATAGGGATTTCAAAGCTATAAAGAATGGAAATTTTAAGAAAATATTAAATTAAACACATTTAAAACCATATGAAATGATAACAGATGTTCGAGAAAGTTTCTAATCTACTTTTGAAGTTCAAACGGGTAATATCATTGATATTTCCCTTCCATATCTTAAAATTTATATTTTCATTAAATAATAGGTGATTTCATTAAATTCTAAAATTAGTTTATCTACATTTACGTATTATTATGTCTATTTATTATGTTGTTGTCTTAAAAACAAACATGCGTTTCAAACTCAACAAAAAAAAAAAAAACTTAGTTCCGTTTGTTGGATATATTTTTATTTAGTTTATACTATGCATTCAAACAAATAAACTAAAGTTCAAAAATGTCATTAAAATTACAACTTTCGAGCTCAAACAAAATTCTCAAAGCTATCATAAAGTATACCAACTTGACATAAATTTTATAACCTAATTAGTCATTGAGAACTATAGTAAAATATTATTGTAAATAATTGTTCAATAACCCGTTAATCCAATAAGCAGATAGATTATTATAAATTTAATTATGTATTAACAATAATTTTCATTATTCAACCAATTTTAGTGAGGGAAAACTTACTCCTTGGGCAAGGCCGTCCTTGAGGCCAGAATCCCCCCGCCACTTGACGCGGTGGTCTGCCGGAAGTTTACCGGACCTCTGCGCCTCCAGAAACAAGAAACTCAAATCCACAGCATCGCCGTAGTTGAAGACGTCACCGGCGACGGCGACGGCTTGGAAACAGAGCACGCCGGCGAGCAAAGCCAATATAAAACCACGCGCCATCGTCAAACTTCAACTTCCTCGCGACGATCGTCACTCGCTTCTGAGATTTTTTGGCATTGCAGATTTCGAAAATTTATTTGCTTTTATAACAAAAAATTGGAATTTACCACAAAAAAAAAACAATAATAATAAATAAATTTAATAAAGTGGTAGGCTTCACGTTATGACACAATCGATCGAGGCCCTCACGTCGTTTCTTTGGAAATGGACTTAGTGGGGTGCAAATATGGAGTGTCGTTTTAAATTATACGGAATTATGGCGTGCCGTTCCATCTGGACCGTCCATTGTTTTGATGGAATTTCTACCGTTGACTGTGATCTGACTTTTTGAGGCAATGTTTATTTATTTATGAGGAATTTCAAATGGATACTCTTTGTTGTTTCTAATTCTTTGGATATGGAATACTATAAAGCCACGTGGCGGTGTGTGTGTTTTTGAATTTGGGGACAAGGAGAAGACCATGTGATTTATTATAAAATTAATGAAAAATAATTATTGAACCACCAACCAATTAAAACTATGTACATGTAATTCCTAGATATATATAGTTGTAGATTCCTGAAAGATAGGTGTGGGTGACCATAACATAAATGCTAGTAATTTTAAACTATTAATGTCTAGTATTTTTGTTCTAGTAGTTTTTTTTTAAGTACAACATTTGGGAATGGAAGATTGAACTCACAATCTCTTTGTTTGAGATATATGTCAATTATCGCTAAACTATGTTCGTTTTGACATTTTGTTTCCAATAGTTGATGATAAGATGAGAATATGTTCGTAGTTTGAATATTATTTAATATTTTGCGATCAAATTGATATTGAAAAATAATAATATAAAAAACAAACTTCACAAATTAAAGATGACTCAACATATAAATTGTATAAACGACTGTTGTTATATAAGAACACCCCCATATTGAAATTTATATATTTACATCAACCCATTGGGGTTTACCATATTCAACCACGTGAAAAATAGGTAAAATTTCATCATTTCAATTACAATTGAAATTGAATTTTTTATTGAAATTGAAAATTTTAAAGCATAAGAATGATCGTTAAAAGTATGTAAAAGTATAATTTAATATAGCAAAAAATGAAAAAAAGGTGTAATTTATATTTAAAACTCTATTTTGGTCCTTAAAAAAGAAAAAAAAAAACTAAAAGAGCTATTTTGATCGCTCTCTCCCCCTCATCTATTTGTATTTTTGGTATTTTTGTTCCTTATCTTTTAAATTTATTGTCTTCGATATAAATTTTGTTTAAATATGATTTTGTATGACAACATGTGAAGAGAGGATTTGAACTTACAATATGCTTTAATGCTTAGCTAGGTTATGTTTAGATAGGTAGAATATTTTTGTTTATTCTCATTCATTTTTTAATAATTGTAATTAAAAAGATCCAAATATGTTGGAAAGTTTGACATTTGCGTCCCCATATCAATCGTTCATGTATCTCTAAAAAAGATCAATAAATTAATGTAACATCTAATGATATAATATACGTACGTGCAATTTATGTTACAGACTATGAAAATAATTGGCAATAAAGATTATAATTTCTTTTAATAAATAGCTCAATTATTAAAACATAAATAATTTAAAATTAGTTTGATTTAGGGGGAAATTTAAAAAGTTTCCTACCATCAACGTAAAAATCTTTCTAAAGGAATGGGAGGAATCAGAAGTTGGGATGAGCTATCGATAAGTAATTCCAGCGTCTCAATAGATTTAAGGAGGTAGAATTAGAAGGTGGACCTTTAAAAATAATCGTGGAGATTTGTTTTCTTTTTTTAATTTTTTTCGGGTTTTGTGATATACAATTTTTATATTTTTAGTATTTTCTTATTTTGAATTTGAAATTTTAATAAATATAATTATATTGAGAAAAATAAAAAATCAATAAATATATTATTTCAGGTTATAAATTATTTTAAATTAAAATTAAAACATGTAAAATATAATATATTAGAAAATATATAATTATGCATAATTATATAAATTTTATAACACAAGTGTTATAAATTAATATTATTTTAGATTAAACTACACGTTTAATTTGGCTAGACACACGTGAAACAACTTTTTTAAATTGAGTTTAAATTTTGTTTTCAGATTTTTATGATATCCAACCAAATAAACTCTACCAACGAATCAGGATCAAACTTAGTAAAACAACAAAATAAAATAGCAAATAAAAGATTGGTTATGTTTAGTTTATTAATGGCTATTGCCTTTAAATTTTATTTATGTTTTACAGCTCTACTAAAAAAAATAATAAGTAAAATTTGGTTAAATACTATTTTGATAAATATAGTTTTGTTCATTTTATTACTGTCTATTCTTAAAATCTTAATTTCAATACATGGTTCAAACTCTGATTTATTTTAGTTTTTATATTTTCAAAAAATTCGTTTTAATATCCAGACTTTTAAAAATGATCTTTTAATCTTGACAAATGTTAAATTTTACTCATTCTTTTGACAATCTAAATGAAAAAAAAATCGAATTTAATTTAAAATTCGTGACTCAACGGATTGAGCTGAAGCTCAAACTCTTTTCTAGGCGGATAATCATGGATTCAGTAGGTTAAATGGAATATTTCCCTTCAATTTAGAAGTGAACAATTGGAAAATTAATTTAATCTTCATATGTTCAAACCTTAGACCGTACAAACTATACAATTTGTTAAAGTGAAACAGTAACAGACAAAGAAAGTTCCACCCTGCGTCCCAATTCCCGGAGGCAACACACAGATCCTTTGCTCGAAGTTGCAGAAAAATCACCGGAGCCAGATTTCCGTGTCAAGTCGGCGACTCATTTCTGTTCTCTTAGCAGTAATTGAATCGTTTAACCGGCGATCACTGTGAATCAGTCGGAAAATTCTTGTTCGTTTTCATTTTTTTGATTGTCGCCATGGGTTAGAAGGAGTTGAATCATCTCATAAACGGATTACTCGGAGGAGGAAAGTATTGTAGCTCTGCTGCAGAAGGATGGCGTCTGAATCGACGTCGCTAGACTCGATTTTTCTGGAGGATTTTGGCCAGAAGGTTGACCTGACTCGGCGGATTCGTGAGGTGCTCCTTAACTATCCTGAGGGGACTACTGTTCTCAAGGAGTTGGTGCAGAACGCCGATGATGCAGGCGCCACCAAGGTTTGCCTCTGTCTCGACCGCAGGGTCCACGGCAGCGAGTCGTTGCTGTCGGAGTCACTGGCACCGTTTCAAGGGCCTGCGCTTTTGGCTTATAACAATGCGGTATTTACTGAAGAAGATTTTGTCAGCATTTCGAGAATTGGTGGTAGTAATAAGCACGGGCAAGCCTGGAAGACTGGTCGATTTGGGTAAATATCTCCGTTTCAATATCTCTAGACGTGTGTTTAATCTGACTCGTTTTGCTTATATGATGGAATTATGGATAGTATACATTTCACGTGTTATTTTGCCAAATGAATTGTACATATTTATCTTGTCGTTGAACCTCATTTCATTCCCTCCGGCAAGTGAAAATGTTGCATTATAGTGAACCAATCTATTTTTGCTTCTGCTTTAAGAACCTTTAGCTAGCGGTGTTAATGAGACAGGATCTTCATGCACTAAAATTTCGAATTTCAGGCTTGTATGTAGAGTTTCATTTTTTACTCTTTTCATTTAATTTAAGTAAAACAAGCTCCCTCAATGTTTTTATGGGCCTCTCCTTCAAGTCAGGTGGTCTCTGACACTTGTCTTTGGTGACAGTTTTTATAAGCTCCAGTTATGTGCATAATTTATTGTTCCAAACTGGCTTACTGGATTTAACTTTTTTCGATATCAGAAAGTAGTAGGCTATTGGTAATGGTTACCATATATTTGGAAGTAATTGGCAACGCTCAAGTTTGCATGATCATCATTCATCTCATAAACAATTCCATAGGCAACCATGAATTTTGGCAGGATCACGTGTTTCCATAAACTAGTGCCGTGCTTTCTCCTTCCAAAATATTATGGACAAACGAATAGATAACCTACAATTAAATGTTATATATGGATGCCTATGATCTAATAGATCTGTCCAGCGACTCGGGTATAATTGTTGCAACTGCAGTTGATGGTTTTGATAACTTGAATTCATCTTCCTTTGGCTTCTTAACTATATTTTCTTACTTCCAATATCACAACTGAAGTAATCTTAGTGAAGTGCAAGCAATTTCATTAAAAAAAAGCACAATGCAAAATTAGATGTTGACAACTTGACATGCTTGAAGCAAGCAGATAAGTTGTTCAAATTTTATAACATTTTCGGAAAGCACTGTCTGCGGTTATTTTCCTTTTGGTAGTTGTTACCATATTTTACAAGAGTTGCAAAGGTTCTATTATTGCTGTTTAAAATTTATCATTGGATGTGATAAAAGCCGAGTCAGTAGTGAAGATAATAGTGCCCTTCTCCATTCTCCTATCAACTTTCATTCCATGAATTCAATATTTATCGCATTATCAAAATAAATGGAAATACAATTAAGTTTCTGTAATATTTTGCTTCCAACATTGACTTCATAATAACTATTTTTTGGTTTAATTTTATAGGGTTGGCTTCAACTCTGTGTACCATTTAACTGAGCTGCCTTCATTTGTTAGTGGCAAATATGTTGTAATGTTTGATCCTCAGGGCATTTACCTTCCAAAGGTTTCTGCAGCAAATCCTGGAAAGCGAATTGACTTCATTCGTTGCTCTGCCATCTCACAATATAGAGATCAGTTTCTTCCTTATTGCGCTTTTGATTGTGACATGGAAAGTTCTTTTGATGGAACTTTATTCCGGTTGCCATTAAGAAATGCAGATCAAGCAGCCAGAAGTAAAATTTCAAGGCAAGCTTATACAGAAGAAGATATTTCTTCCATGTTTGCTGAACTTTATGAAGAAGGAGTCTTGACGTTACTCTTTTTGAAAAGTGTTTCATGTATTGAAATGTTTGTATGGAATGATGGTGAGGCAGAACCCCAGAAGCTTTATTCATTCTCTGTGCGTTCAGCAAGCAGTGATATTATTTGGCAC